GTCATAGCAATTTGTCATGAGCCATAAGGATATGCAATGAAAACCTAAAATGGAAAATTTAAGGCCTCTAGTTCTGAAAGGAAAACAAAAAACTTTTTACATAGCAAACATGAGAGGGAAGAAAAGATCACAAGGTGGGAAGAGAAGACCACAAAGCCTCAAGAGAAAATAGTGCCCAGTAATCAAAACTCGCAGCCTCGGGGCTGGGAATGTGGCTTAGTGGTAGAGTGCTTGCCTAGCATTCATGAAGCCCTGGGTTTGATTCCTCAGTACCACATAAACAGAAAAAGCCAGAAGTGGCACTGTGGTAGATGATATCCTTGAACAAAAGAAGCTAAGGGACAGTGCCCCTAGGGAAGGAATCCTTACCCCCCTCCCCCTCCCCGCATCTCACTGACAAATGAGTCTTCAAACCCTAAAGGCTAACACACACTTTGGTTCTCACCCTGGAAACAACTCCCATTTCTTTATTTTTTTTTTTTGAATTCAGAACCTGAGTTGGCACTCTACCACTTGAGCCACAACTCCAATTCCAGCATTTTGGTGGTTAACAGTGGATAGAAGTCTTACTTGCCCAGGCTGTTCAGCGAGAGCTCAGTGTCCTGAGTAGCTAGGGTTATAAATGTGAGCCACTAGAGCCTGGCTTAATTTCTTAAAATAATAATGATCATTCAATATATTATCATGATTAACTAGAGCTTTAGGTAAGTGGGGGGGGGGGTCCCTGAAGGGTTCCTGCCCCTCCCACACTGGGGAGAAAGGACAGACCCTCTCCCAAAATCTCCCTGTGGGAAAGAATTTTGTCTTCATTGTCCACAAATCAGGAGGGGCCACTAAGGGGCTTAGGTTTCAGGCCTAATATACCGCCCAGCCCCCCACAGACTTTCCTCTGTCAAGGAGACCTCATCTGTTCTCCTAAGAGACTCAGAGCCCTTCCCCTAGGTAGTCTCTACTGAGACCCCCTCCTACCCTTTCCTACCTACAACACCCCCCAGAACTCATCACCGAGAGACAACCATTAGAACACCAGTAAGGTCACAGCTGGGGTATGGTAGTATAGCCTGGCACCCCAGAAGCAGACAGGAGGATGGAGGTCCAAGGACAGTCCTAGGCAAAACTGCAAGACTTATCTGGAAAATGACTGAAAGAGCCAGGTAGGGTAGCTCACATCTATAAACCTAGCTACTCAGGAGGCTAAGTTCTGAGGATCATGGTTCAAAGCCAGCCTGGGCATGAAAATCCGTAAGACTCATCTTTGATTAACCACCAGAAAACTGGAAGTGGTGCTGTGGCTCAAGTGGTAGAGCGCTCACCTTGAGCTGAAGAGCTCAGAGACAGCGCCCAGGTCCAGTTCAAGCCTCATGACAAAAAAAAAAAAAAAAGTGACTAAAACAGAAAAGGGCTCGCTGGGCGCTGGTGGCTCACGCCTGTAATCCTAGCTACTCAGGAGGCTGAGATCTGAGGATCGCGGTTCAAAGCCAGCCCGGGCAGGAGAGACCATGAGACTCCTATCTCCAATAAACCACCAGAAAACCGGAAGTGGCACTGTAGCTCAAGTGGTAGAGCGCTCGCCTTGAGCTGAAGAGCTGAGGGACAGCGCCCAGGCCCAGAGTTCAAGCCCCACGACCGACAAAAAAAAGAAAAAAGAAAAAACAGAAAAGGGCTAGGGATGTGGCTCAAGGGGTAGAGCACTGCCTGCCTAGCATATTGGAGGCCCTGACTTCAAATTCTACTACTGACCAAAATAAAAAAGGTGTGGTCACTGGACCCTGGAGGAAATGGAACTGTGGGGTCTGAGGGGTCCTTCCTAGAAGTCACTAAAAGAAGGAATGGGGTCCCAAACCCCCATAGGCTCAGAACTGCTTTGAAGTGTACTGAGGGCCAGGCCTGCAGAGCAAAATAGAGAGGCCAGGATTTGAATGTGACACTGTAGAGCTGCCCCCGTTCCTAGTTGGCAGGGTGAGATCCAGGCAGGACAGAAAAACCCCATGCGGTTCATTAAGCCTTTCTCTTCAGTGGGGATTTTATTTTTGTCAGCTGTGGTGCTTGTACTTTTATCCCTGAGCTCTTTTGCTCAAGGCTAGGGCTCTACTACTTTGAGCTATATAGTGCCATTATCTGGTTTTTCTGGTGGCCTAGTGGTAAAGCGTTTGTCTAGAATGCATGAAGCCCCAGGTTTGATTTCCCAGTACCACATACACAGAAAAAGCCGGAAGTGGTGCTGTGGCTCAAGTGGTAGATGCTAGCCTTGAGCTGAAGAGCTCAGGGATAGTGTCCAGACCCAGAGTTCAAGCCCCATAAATGACAAAAAAAAAAGTCTCACAACAGGCTGGGAAGTTGGCTCAGTGGTAGAGTGCTTGCCTCTCATGCATGAAGCCTTGGGTTCAATTCCTCAGCACCACATAAGCAAAAAAAAAATAACACAAAACAAAAAAAGCTGGAAGTGGTGCTGTGGCTCTAGTGGTAGAACACTAGCCTTGAGTTGAAGAGCTGAGGGACAGCACCCAGGCCCAGAGTTCAGGCCCCAGGACCGTCAAAAAAATAAACTTCAAAAAAAAAAAAAAAAAAAGTCTCACAGCTTTCCTGCCTGGACTAGGTTTGAACAGTGATCCTCATATTTCAGCCTCCTGAGTAGCTAGGATTATAGGTGTGAGCCTCCAGCACCCAGCCAAATGGAGATCTTCTTTTGGGGGGAGGGGCGGGGGGTGGTGGGTCCTGTCGTGGGGCCTGAACTCTGGGCCTGGGCGCTGTCCCTCAGCTCTTCAGCTCAAGGCTAGCGCTCTACCACGTGAGCCACAGCACCACTTCCGGCTTTTTTTCTTTTTGCTTATGTGGTGCTGAGGAATCGAACCCAGGGCCTCAGGCATGCAAGCATTCTACCACTGAGCTACCTTCCCAGCCCCATCGAATGGAGATCTTTTAGGGTCACAGTTAACCCTGACCAGTTGCCTGGAGGCTGAGCTGTATCCAGCCTGTCTTTACCTCTTCTGATGGGGAGTTGGACTCGCACCCCCACGTTGCAGGCGTAGTGGTGATTCCCAACCTGGCTGGGGGAAACTAGGGCACAGGGCGCAGGTTGGTGCTGAGTCCGCGGCGCGTCTGCATGTGTGCGCACGCACATGGCCTCCTTGCTCTTATCTACATGAGTGTGCATTCTTTTCAATGTGTGCACTCTAGTCTATGTGCGTGTAAGCTCCCCAAAGCCATCCCCACCCCTGTGGGCGTGTACCTTGGGGACAGGGAACAGCTGAGGGACCATGTAACCCAGCAGGGGCTGCAACTGCCCAGTCTGTCCAGGAAAACTCCAGGAAATGGGGAGCCATGTCCAGGAGCTTGTTTGGTGGTACCCCCTGAACCTAGGAGCTCTGAAAGTGTCTCCCCCTTGGCCCTGTGCCCGTGCCCTGGAATCCATGCAGCCTGGAGGGTTTTCTTCTGCCCTCCAAACCCAGGCAGATCACATATCCCCAGCCCACTGTCCCTGTGATTGAGTTAGAGCCCACCTATCCCTCTTCTATTGACCTTGAAATAGCCTTTCCTCACCACCGCCTCCGGCATTGAGCCTCCTCCATCAGACTGCCTTCCTCATCACAAGGTTCCACCTCTTCCACCAAACCCTGGGCCTACGCAGCAGCATAGCCTACAGCATAGCCTGCGCCTCCTCCGTGGGACCTAGTGCCTCTCAGGTCACAGCCTGCACAGACTGTGTTCACTAAATCGTCTGCCCCTCCCCCATCAGACTCAGTCTGCCACATGGCAGACTCCAGAATAAACAGGGGATCCCTGACTCGTCAACCCAGACCAGGCCTGGTGGGTGGTAGGAAAGGGCAGGTCCCCTTCCACCCCTAAACCCTCAGCTGGCCCCCAGCTTGGCTCGGAGGGTCCATCTTTCCCCCCATGATCACCAAGACTTTTCTGACATCAGGCCTGGCTTCCATCAGGCACGGTCCTGGGGACCTCGCTGGGATCAACTTTCCTTTGTGGCCATCTGCCACTTGTCAATCTCTGCTCTCACTCGCAGAGCATTCCTCACCAGCAGCCAATCAGCGCCTCCGCTGCTGGCTCGCTGCTGGCTCCATGGAGCCGCAGCCTGGTGTGGCCAGGGACTCCAAGAACCCAAGCTCTGTTGCCAAAGGGCCGGTGGCCATATGCTGGGTCCGGGTCCTCACCCCATCTGTTTGGCCTCAGTTTCCCCACTCATAAAATGGGACTGGAGAGGACTTGGTGGCTCTGACCTCCAGCTGCAGCCAGCCTCCTTGTGGAGCCAGGAGACCTGTTCATCCCCCACTCCCTATTTGTGCTTCCAGAACATGCTGTCAAGGGATGTGGATAGACAGGGCCCCTGTGAGCAGGGAAAGGGTGGCCCTTAGGACCCATGTATCCTGTGGGGTAAGGGTTGCTGCAGCTGGGTGCCCTGACCTCCACTTACTTCCAAATATCCGGCTACAGGACTCAAGCCCACCATGCCCCCTCTTCTCTCCAAATGATGGATGGCCTGCTAGGGTGCAGTGCAAATTTGCCCAAGTCTAGACAGATGCCCCAGTGACTCAACACACCTGTAATCCTAGCTACTCAGGAGGCTGAAACCTGAAAATTGAGGTTCAAGGCCAACCTGGGCAGGAAAGTCTGTGAGACTCTTATCTCTGATTAACCACCAAAAAGCCTGAAGTGAACCTGTGGCTCAAATGGAAGAGCACCAGCCTTCAGCAAAGAGTTAAGGGACAGTGCTCAGCCCTTGAGTTCAAGCCCCATAACCACCACCAACAACAACAAAGACAGACAGCCTTGATCTAAGAGAAAAAGCCAAGTGAGAATACAATGGCCCAAGATGAAGGCCCAGCATGGGCACACATACTGTTCTTGGCCAAACCCATATGAGCCCTGGGGCTGAATCCCAGCTCATCTCAGTCTGGCTGCCACCTCCCCTGCACACCCCCACCCTCCTTATGTCCCAGCCTGCCCACACAACACTCTCCAAGACACACACTGACACCTCTAGGGGCTGCAGACTTGCATTATTTTATTTTGCTCTTTCCAGTTCAAAGCTACTATTATGGGCGTTTATAGTTATACAAATGACACTTACAAAAAATAAAAGACCAAGACACCCAGAGTGAGAGGCATGATGGGAGGCTGGGGCCCTGCCAAGGAAACACATGGCTTCTTCCTGCCCAGAAGACCCGAGATGTCAGTCAGACATGGAGCACCAATCACAGCAGGGCTCTGGCTGAGAAGGGTGGGCCCAGGGCTGCGGATGGGCAGAACCAGGGATGACCAGCTAGGGAAGCAGGTGCAGGTGACAAGACCCCTCCCCCCCCACACACATCCACCAAGACCCCTCAGAACTACAACCAAGCTATCCTGGGATGCCTTCCACCCGTACATTGAAGAAAAAAAAAATACTGATTTGGTCATTTTCTGTTTCCAGTCAGGCCAGGGTGAAAGGAATGAGATGGGAACAGGGTACCCCAACTGAGACCAGAATGTGCAGGGAAGACCCTATGGCTGTCCAGTGGCTCCCCCTACCCCCCCCCCACTTCCAGCCAGGGAGCCGCTGGGTCATTGCAAGGTTGGATACAAGCAGCAGTCCAACCACACCCAAAAAACACACCTGTGGATAATATCTCAGGCCAGGTGTAGTTTCAATATCACCCAAGACTTCCCCACTTGATGGGGGGTGGGAGGGTGGTGTGGAAGGGCTAGGCTGGGGACAAGGGTCCGGCTCCAGGGGGGGGGTCTGAGGCAGCTTCCCAGCCCCCCTACTTCTGGGCTACTTTCCAGGGAAATAAGGCTCACAGTTATCTGAGGTCAGAAAGAGGTGCCAGCCTTGCCCCATGGCAGAGGAGGGGACAGAGGGACCTGAGGCTGCAGCCACTGACCCTTGGGGGAAAGCAGGGGAAGGGGAATGGGGGCACCATATTCTCTGGGGTTTCCAGTTTGAAAGGCAAGGGGCTCACCACCTGCCACAGGGCCACCTAGAGAGCAGGGTGAGCAGGAAGGCCTGGAGGATCCCACCCCCCCCCCCACGGGACCGGTGACCCTCAGTACTCCCAGAGCGAGGCAGGGTCAATGGTCTCCGCGCAGGCCTTCAGGACCCCCGCGTGGTCCCCTTTCAGGTAGCGCCCGCCCACCTTGATGGCCACTTTATTGTAGTCACAAAACTCAAAGAAGAAATCCACTGGGGTGTCGCTGCTGCTGGTGACGGAGGAGTCGCTGCCCACTGTCCAGTACTTGCCCGTGGAGTCTAGGGAGGGAGACCCCCGTCAGGCTGTGCCCGCCCCAGCCTCCCGCCCACCACCCCTTCTTCCTCTTGCCGGGATTTGTTCCAAGGTCATGGTTCCCCTATCTCCTCATCAGCTTCCAGGAACATCATCAATTCAGCTTGATTGGGGGGGGGGGGGGGGGGGGGGGGGAGGGTCCATGGTGAAGGTCCCTTCCCTGGATTTCATCTTCATTATTTTATGTCAGTACTGGGACTTCAACTCAGGGTCTGAATGTTGCCCCTGAGCATTTTTTCCTCTCAAGGCTGGTGCTCTACCACTTGAGCCAGCCACAGCTCCGCTTCCTGTTTTCTGGTGGTTGATTGAGGATAAGAGTCTCACGGGGACTTTTCTACCTGGGCTGGCTTCAAATTCCATCCTTAGATTTCAGCCTGTTGAGGGCTGGGAAGGTGGCTCAGTGGTAGAGCACTTGCCTTGCATGCCTGAGGCCCTGGGTTCGATTCCTCAGCACCACATAAGCAAAAAGAAAAAAAAGCCGGAAGTGGCGCTGTGGCTCAAGAGGTAGAGCGCTAGCCTTGAGCTGAAGAGCTGAGGGACAGCACCCAGGCCCAGAGTTCAGGCCCTACAACCGGACCAAAAAAAAAAAAAAAGGATTTCAGCCTGTTGAGTAGCTAGGATTACAGGCTTGAGTCACCACTGCCAGTTTTCCCTGGATTTCTGATGTCTGCTTATCCCTCACCTTCTCTGCCTGCCTGAGCTGGGCAGGAAAAAGTGACCCATACAGACAAGAGGAAGAAAAGGGGCTGCTCCCAGTGCCCAACCAAGACACACCAAAGCCAGAGCCAGGCAGGAGCGGGGCTGGAGAACTTGCCTTTGATGTTGTAGGCGCCGTTGTTGAATTCAAGCTGGAAGACATCATAGCTGGAGCGGTTGGCGTCCAGAGTGCCGGTGACCTTGCGGCAGCCGATGAATCCATGCTCCCCGCGAAACACGATGATGGGGCGGTTGATGAGCTTCATGAGGAACAGCTCCGAGTCCCCTGCCACACGACAGGAAGGGACAGTGAACCCCATGGCAGAGGGCAGGGTGGGGGCTGGGACAGCCAGAGTCGGGAGCCACACAGCAGGTCAGTAAGCCTGAGTAGGGACCATTTAGAGAGTACTGTGTAGGGGTGACTGGCCCCTACCCCCAGGGTACAAGAACAGCATTAGAAAACTAGAAGTGTGAGCACATCCCCCAAGGCAGCAAATTACCTGCCATCTCCACCGAAGCGGCCAGCTGCCCGTTCTTCTTGGCTGTCACAAATTTCCCGTTGGAGGCACGCAGTGTGATGCGCCGATCACGCCACTCAATGTCAAAATAGCAGCTGGCATTTCTGAGGAGGGGAGACAGCATCAAGAGGGGGAGCTCTCTCTCACAGAATGGGGGTGGGCGGGACCTGGGCAGGCAAGTCGTGGGGGCAACTCACTTGGTGGACGCAGTGGACTGCACGCCCCCTGTGGCCGTCAGCATCCAGTACTTGCCGGTGTGGGTGCGGAAGGCGCACTTCTTTGTGTCCCTGTCGATCTCCAGCTGGAAGGTCTCCTGGTCAGTCTCTTCATCCTGATTGGCTGATAGGTCCATACCTGCAGAGGAGCCCCAGGCTGGTCAGGTCCTCCCATGGCCATGTCCCTGTCCCCTAATGCGGGATGACCCACAACCTCATCACAATACCCACACACAGGGGTAAAGCACTGCTGAGACCCTGAGTGTGGCTCAGATCCTCTCAGCCAGTACATCAAAGCCAGCAGCTGGCAGAACGGGAGCACATGAGCAGGGCCAGAGAGCCAAAGCCAGCGAGGCTATTTCAGCTCACTTCCTGACTACAGAAGGAAGTGGTTCAGTAACCCCAGTACTCTGGAGACTGATGCAGGAAACTCTTAAGTTCCAGGCCAGCCTGGCTACATTTTGAGCCTCTGTCTCAATTAAAAAAAAAAAACAGGCACTAGACATGGTAGCTCAAGTCTGTCCACTTAGCTACTTGAAAGGCAGAGATTGGGAGGATTCTAAGGCCAGGCAAGTGAAAAAGTTCTTGGGACTCCAACCAAAGAATGGGTATGGTGATACATGCAGGTCATCCCAGCCACACAGAGAAGCACAAATAGGAGGATCACAATCCAACCAGCCTGGACTATGAGAACTTATCATGAAAATAACTAGCTGACCTTAACCCTAAACTACTCAGGAGGATGATCCTTAAAGGCTGTGGTTTAATACCAGCCCGAGCAGATAAATCCAAGAGACTTTTTTCTCCAAGTCAGCTAGGTACCAGTGGCTAATACCTATAATCCTAGTTACTCAGGAACCCGAGATGCACAGGATAGAGGTTCAAAGCCAACTAGGGTATGAAAAAGGCCATGGGACTCCCATATTCAATTGACAAGCAAAAAGCCAGACTGGAAGTGTGATTCAAGTGGCAGAGTACCAGACAAACAAGCAGGCTGAGCAAACACAGCCTTGAGTTCAAACCTCAGTGAAAGAAAGAAAAAGAAATAGGAAAAGAGAAAAAGAGAGAAAGGGGAGGAGGAAATAACACAGAAGAATTCCTGTCTAACAAGTGTGAAGCCTTAAATTCAATCCCGCAGTACCACAAATTACAAAAAAAAAAAAGGCAAGAACAAAAGTAATATTTTCAGGGCTGGGAAGGTGGCTCAGTGGTAGAGTGCTTGCCTTGCATGCATGAGGCCCTGGGTTCCATTCCTCAGCACCACATAAGCAAAAAGAAAAAAGCCGGAAGTGGCGCTGTGGCTCAAGTGGTACAGCGCTAGCTTTGAGCTGAAGAGCTGAGGGACAGTGCCCAGGCCCAGAGTTCAGGCCCCATGACCGGACCCAAAAAAAAAAAAAAAAAAAGTAATATTTTCAAACATTGTGCAAACAGACATTTTAGAGCCAAAGGATTCGATTTTCAAGACTGGTTTTTCTTAAGTTCTGTTGTGGTTATGTAAGAAATGGCCTCTTTCTTTTTTGGTTACAGATGGAAGTATTTCAGGATCAAACGCCCTGGTGTCAGGGATTTGCTTTAAATACAACCTAAACCAGGGAGAAGGGCACCAGTACAGATGGTGCTAGTTCGCAGAACAGGGCAGGGAGGGGTGTGGATTTGTGAAAGTGAAAATGGTTAAATAAAACAAGAGCCTGGGGCTGGGAAGGTGGCTCAGTGGTAGAGCACTTGCCTTGCATGCTTGAGGCCCTGGGTTCGATTCCTCAGCACCACATAAGAAAAAAGCCGGAAGTGGCGCTGTGGCTCAAGTAGTAGAATGCTAGCCTTGAGCTAAAGAGCTGAGGGACAGCGCCCAGGCCCAGAGTTCAGGCCCCACGACCGGACCAAAAAAAAACAAGAGCCTGGCCTGGGTGCTAGTGGTTCACGCCTGTCATCCTAGCTACTCCGGAAGCTGAGATCTGAAGATGGTGGTTCAAAGCCAGCCCTTACAGGAAAGCCCATGAGATTCTTCTAATTCACCACCAAAATGCCAGAAGTGGAGCTGTAACTCAAGTGGTAGCATGCCAGTCTTAAAAAAAGTAAAAACAAAAAATCCAGGCCTTGAGTTCAAGCCTGATGACCAGCAAAAAATTAAATTAAATTTATTTATTTTGGGGGGGGGGGTCCGGTTGTGGGGCCTGAATTCTGGGCCTGGGCACTATCCCTCAGCTCTTCAGCTCAAGGCTAGCGCTCTACCACTTGAGCCACAGCGCCACTTCCGGCTTTTTTCTTTTTGCTTATGTGGTGCTGAGGAATGGAACCCAGGGCCTCATGCATGCAAGGCAAGCGCTCTACCACTGAGCCACCTTCCCAGCCCTTAAATTAAATTTAAAAAAGAAAAGCTTTAAGACAAAGTCATACTTAACCCTGCCCTCTCTAGCCACACCCTGCCAGCTCAAGCTTCAAGCATATGCATGTGTCTACACACATGTGCCCAGCTTGGGGAGGTGGCAGACAGCTTTCTGCCTCACGTCTGTCTGTGCACAGGTTTCCAAGACACGAGATAATCCGACTGAACTGCACAGACCTCAGCCACTGACCCCACCCACCAAAGGGGGGAGGGAACTCTGCTCCCCACCCTGCATATCTGGGGGTTTTGTTGTTGTTGTTGTTTTGTGGGGTTTGGGGTTTTTTTCGGTTGGTCGTGGGGCCTGAACTCTGGGCCTGGGCACTGTCCTTCAGCTCTTCAGCTTAAGGCTAGCACTTGAGCCACAGAGTCACTTCTGGCTTTTTCTGCTTATGTGGTGCTAAGGAATTGAACCCAGGGTCTCATGCATGCAAGGCAAGCACTCTACCACTGAGCCACCTTCCCAGCCCCCACCCCGCATATCTGAACTGATGCCTCAAGCCAAAACCTGCAGTGAGATTTTTTGCTTCCAACAGGAGAAAAAAGAAGTCCCATTCATCCACTCAGCAAAGTACCTAGATTTGTGTGTGCGCGCGCACGCGAGCACACCAGCCCTGGGGCTCAAAATCAGGGCCTGAACGCTAGAGCTGAATGTCACTCACCTTCCTGTCTGGGCTGGCTTTAAACCTTGAGCATCAGGTTTTAGCCTCCCGAGTAGCTAGGATGACAGGCCTGAGCTCCTAGTACCTTGCTGGAATGGCCAGCCCAGAGCCATGGGGCACTCTCTGTGATGTTTGCAAGCCTCTGGGCTCCATTCCGAAGCAGGGACCCAGGGGTGGGTGTGGCCAGTACACCCCATGGTAGGACCCATCCTTATCCTTAGTTCATGTCTGTGATGGAAGAAGGTTTGAAGGGTTCCAGCCCCATTCTAACCCACCACGTTTATGTGCCACCCAAGGGAGAATCTACTTTCCAGAGTGAAGTGAAGCAAAGTAGCCTGTCCTTGGTCCAAGGTCACATGACCAAAGAAAAGAGAAAAAATTATTATTAAAATTATAGGAATAATGTTGTCTTAACCAGATGCAGTAGTTCACACCTGTAATCCAGCCACTTGGGAGGCAGAGATCAGGATTGAGGTTTATGGGCAGCTTGAGTAATAAGATGCCATCTTGCCGGGTGCCGGTGGCTCATGCCTATAATCCTAGCTACTCAGGAGGCTGAGATCTGAGGATCGAGGTTCAAAGCCAGCCCAGGCAGGAAAGTCCGTGAACCTCTTATTTCCAATAAACCACCAGAAAACCAGAAGTGGCACTGTAGCTCAAGTAGTGAAGCTCTAGCCTTGAGCTGAAGAGCTGAGGGATAGTGCTCAAGCCCACAGTTCAAGCCCCACGACCGACAAAAAAAAAGAAGACAAAAAAAAAGATGCCATCTCAACCAATAGCTAGATATAAGCGGCATGGGGCTGTAACCTTAGCTCTAGGAAAGGCTTAGGTAGGAGGATCTGGATTCGAGGGCAATCTGGGGCAAAACTCTGAGACCATATCTAATTCTGACTTGAGCAGACACCCCCCACAGTCGCACCCAAGAGCAGAGCTCTGGGCTGGGGTCCCCTCCTTCCATCTCCCCAAACCAGAGGCCTCGCAAACCAAGCTGAATCGCCTCACACCCACCACAAATGAAAAATGAAACACCGAGGCTGGCAGCTATCCCCACGCAGCCACGCCCAGCCCCGGCCACATGTTGGCATCTGTCCAATACATGTCCATCCAGAGGCCAGTGGGGGACAGTGAGCTAGGAGATTCCCTGCAGGTGGCACTCAGTGAACAGAAGGGACCACGCTGCAGCTGAGCCCTGCACCACCCCAGGCAGCCTCTGCATCGCCCAAATGCCCAGCGCCAACACCAAGCTGGACAGAGGAAGAAGCATTATTTGCCCAGAGCCACACAGCTCTGTCCATCAGTTTGGTGAAAGGCCCAGACCAGCCAGTGAGGCACCCATGCCCGGCTGAGTACCCTTGGGCAGATGCTTTCAACTTCACTCTGCCTCAGTTTCCCTACCTGCCATAAAGGTCCAGTTTCTTTCTGGAATGCTGGAAGGGGAGGGGGGACCTGGTGCCTGCAGACTCCTCCCCCCCCCCAACCTCCTCTGGGGGGGGGAGGCCCCGCCCTGGCGGGAAAGACCACATTTGGCCTTGGAGTCTCTAATTGGAGCCCTGTTGCTATGGCAACAGATTTTCTGCGGGGATTTGTCTTTTGATCAACTGCAGCACAGAAAACCTGAGTCAGACTCACAGGAACCTGGGGGCCGGGAAATGGGGGTGCTCCTGGCTGAGCCAAGGCTTGGCTCCCCACCAGAGCCCAACAGCCCATCGCTTCCTGCTTCCGCCTCTCAGCCAGTCTGCCTGCCTTCCCCCTCCTGGACCCCCATCTCCCACCTTTCACTTAAACCGAGTGGTTCCCAGATTCCCTCAACTTGTTCAAAATGGAGACTTTGTCTACCCCATCTCATCTAAAGAGAAGCTTAGAATCCCAGTCTAGTGAGTTCTTACAACTCTCCCACCCCTTCAAATCCCTCCATCCTTACCCAAGCCAGGCCTCCTCCAGCAAAGCCCAGCCTATCATCTCAGCTACTCAGAGAGAGAGGATCTCCATTTGAGGCTAGTCTAGACAAAGTGAGACCCTACCTCAAATCACAAGCTGGGCATGGTGGAACACGCCTGTAACTCTGTAGGAGTGGGAGGAAAAAGGACCAAGTACAGCCCTCAGCCATAAGATTCACACCCTTCCCTCCCAATAATGAACGCCCCCCCCCTTCCCCCCACTCTGGCAGCAGTTCCCAGCCACATTTGGGAAGCACAGACCTGAGCCTCTAGAAAGCCTGCCCAGAATAGCCTCAAAGACACACCCACCCCTATGGCTCACAGTCCTTGAGTCACCCACATCCCACCCCAGGGAGCTCTGCTGACACAAGGACCCCAAGATCTGAAGGTAGTGGAAGCCCACCCTCAGCCTCCCAAGTCCCCTCCCCCAGTTTGTTTGTTTGTTTGTTTGTTTTTTTGGTCCGGTCGTAGGGCCTGAACTCTGGGCCTGGGCACTGTCCCTCAGCTCTTCAGCTCAAGGCTAGCGCTCTACCACTTGAGCCACAGCACCACTTCCGGCTTTTTTCTTTTTGCTTATGTGGTGCTGAAGAATCGAACCCAGGGCCTCAGGCATGCAAGGCAAGCGCTCTACCACTGAGCCACCTTCCCAGCCCTCCCTCCCTCAGTTTTGAGTCTCTTCAGACTCAAAGATGAGCCAACTCTGCCTGGCTCCAAGGTTTGGCTCCTCCTGCCCCATCATCTTGAATCATAACCATGACACCCCAGTGAACTAGCTCAGGCTGGCAAAACACTTTCAGGCTTTCTGCTCCCCAAGGGCCTTGGCCACTTGCTCCAGCCTCATCTTCCCCAGGGCAGAAGGCCCTGGACACAGCCCCCCACGTACAGAGCCTTGGAGAATCAGCACCTATCAGGTGCTAGGGCCTTGCAGGTCCTTCCATTCTCATCTCCCAATTTTCTGGGCCACATTGGGCTTTCTCAGTGCTCTACCTCAGGACCTTTGCACAGACTGCACCATTTGCTTTGTAACCACATTCCACACATCCAGTGTGTGTTACCTTCTATATACCTCTAGCTCAGCTCAAGTGCCCTCTAAAAAAGGATCTCCTTCATCTAATCTGGGACCCTGGTCCTGTTCCTCTTGTGTATTGTCCCCAAGAGACTATGGAACTTAGCACTGGATCTCACCATGTCCTCATGTCTGCAAAACGGGTAACCTGCCCTCCACCCAGCAGTGGGACACAGGGAGAGAGAAGCTGAAAGACAACAGGTTCAGCTCCTATTTAGGGCGTCAAATCTACCCAGTTTTGCATACTTGCTGACTTGCTGTGTGTCCTGGAGCAAGTGGCTCCACTTCTCCAGGACTCAACTCAGCAAACTCAGGCCCCACCTAGTCCTCCACCTTCAACCCCACCCCGTCGGGGGTCTGGCAGCTCTCGGACAGGGCTCTCATCCAGCTATCTCCAAGGCCTGGGGTCCAATTTCCCATCCAGGGAAACAAGAACTTCACAGCATCCCTCCCAACTCCCCCAATCTCTCCAGGGGGCTTTTTGCTGCAAACAGCCTCTTGGCAAAGGAGGACCATACACAGAAGGCCGAGACACCGGCGATGGGGAGAACCTGAGAAAGTAGGCCAAGAAAGGGGCTTATTTCTGGCGTCCAGGCCTGTCGGAAATGGCCCAGCTTGTGGGAGGCCCTGGAGGGGACGGATCGAGTTGCAGCCAACTGTTCCCCGCAGGGCCCTTGGGGACGGGTTCACTCCAGGGTAGGGGCTTCCCGAGGGAGCCCGGCCGGGGTCTCCCGGCGCGCGCCGAGGCCGCCCTCCGTCGCCCGGCCCGGCGCGGCGGGCGCAGGGCGGGCGCAGGGCGGGGTGGCTGGCGCGCGGCCATCCGCGCCACGCTGCTAGCGGGCCGCGGTGCGAGGAGCGAGGCCAGCTCCGGGGCGCCCCCGGGACGGAGATCGGGCCGTGGGGCGGCTCCCGGGGCCGCGCGGGGGGCTCCGCCGCAGGGGGGGAGCCGCCAGGGCCGCTCCCCTCCCCCGCCCCGCCGCATCTGGTTTTCCCATCTGCAGAGCCGAAGCAGGACAAAGGGGGCGAGGGAGGGCCCAGCCGCGGCGACCCGCCCCCTGCTCACAAAGGCCGCGGCCCCGAGCGCGGGGCCGGCGGGGGAGGCGGGGCCCGGGGGACGGGCCGACACGGTGGGCACCCCCCCCCAGCAGGGCGCGACCCCACCCGGCAGCGGGAGGAGGGACGGAAAGGCCGGGCGCCCCTCCCCCGAGGGGGGAAACCAGCACCCCGCCGAGATCAAACACCCACCAAGCCTCCCCCAGCCCAGCCCGGGAGGGAACCGGTGGAGACGCTCGCCCGGGCCGGGGCCTGGGGACGCGGAGAGGGCCCAGGGGCGCGCCCTCCCCAGGAGCTGTGGGGCGCCGATCGTCAGACTCCGCGCGCGTTGGCGAGGGGAGCCAGGGCGGGCGGGGGTCTGGCACGTCGGGCCTAGGGCGCCTCGTGACCCCCGCCCGGGGTGGGAGTTGTGCAAGCGGCGCCCCAGGAGGGGGCCGGACCTCACGTCCCGCGGCGGGGCGGGGGTGGCCTGTGCGCCGAGCGGGGGGGGGGTGCACAGGGGCGAGGCGGGCGAAAAAGGGCGGGAGTCTGGGCAGGATGCGGAGGGCGCTTTGTGCGGGGACACGGGGGGCGACGTCCCCACTCACCCTGGCGCGTGGACACGTTCCTCTCGTTGGCCGCCTGCAGCACCACCTGGGCGCAGCTCTGCTCCAGCACGAAGAGCTCGTCCTTGCCCACCTTGGTGGCCTTGCCCGCCTTGAGCGTGCCGCTGGGCCCCGACGGTGCCAGGTAGCGGCCTTCGCAGTCGCGGAAGGCCACCTTGCCGGAGCGGAACTCCAGCGTGTAGCCGGTGGCGGGCTCGGGCTGTGCCACCAGGCGCCCGTCGTGGCGCAGGAAGCGGTGGTCGGCCGTCTGCACGCTGTAGCGCTGGTCCTGGAAGGCGAGCGTGATGAGCGAGTCGACGCCCCAGGGCACGTCCCGGTCCACGGCGATCTCGTCGGCCGGCCGGGCGCCCAGGTGAGCGTAGCGCTTACGGGTCAGGCTGTAGATGTTGACCTGGGGGTGCATGGCGATGTGCACGCTCCACTTCTCGGCCGGTGACACGGTCTGGGCGAAGCACGACAGGCGGTCCTCGGTGCCCCCGAAGTAGCGTCGGTGCGCCTCGGACTGCAGCGACCAGCGGCCGTCGTCGTGCGCCACGATTAGGAAGCGGCAGTCGGCGCCGGGCACCTCGCGCTCGCAGGTCACGTTGCCGTCCTTGTCGGCCGCCAGGTAGCGACCCAGGTGACTGCGCAGGCACACGGCCGCGCTGCCCGCCTCATCGGGCGGCTGCTCCAGCGTCCAGATCTGCTTCTTCTTCAGGCTGCTGGCCGACGCGTTCACCTTGAACCCGAATGCCTCAGCAGTCAGGTACTTGTTGCTGCAGTTGATCAGGCCGAATTGGATCTGCACAGCCTCGGCCGTGCCGTTGGCGGTCATGGTGGCGGGTGGACGCAGGCCCCGAGAGCTCGGGGATGGGGAGGGAAGATGGGTGGCAGTGGTCCCCGCGGCGGTGTCCCGGCTCCTTTGTCTGGCGGACGACGCCCGCACGCACCCTCCGCAGCGTTCCACAAAGCCGGCCCGCGGCCCCCCAGCGGCTTTATATAGGCGCGGTGACGTCAGCGCTGCCACGCCCACGCCCCGCCCCCGGGTTCGGCGGGGAGGGGGCTCTGCCGCTCCTCGGCCCCCGAGCGGAACGCGCGCAGGGCGCGGCTTGGCTTTCCGGGTCTTCTCCCTCTGCACCATCCGCTTCCCATCCGGGTGCCTTCACCCCGCCCTCTGCTCCCGCGTGAACACACCCCCACCCCCGGACGCCCCTCACCCCAAGCCCAGAGGGGGAGGAAGGACGAGGTGGTGCCGAAGCAGCTGAGACCACTGTGCAGATCGGCTCTGGGTGGAGGCGGGGCAGGCCCCCCCCCCTCCCCAGGTGGCCTCAGAGCCAGGCCTGGCTGGAGCCGGGTCTGGGAGCAGCTTGTGGACCTGAGGAGGGGCCTGCACACCCCAATCCGCCCCCAACCCAGCTTGTCTCCTTGCAGCCTGGCCCTTGTGCGCCATGGCTGAGATTCCCCAGGTTCTGCCGGCCCCGTAGGTCGCAGTGATGGTGACAGTGAGCCCCTGACCAGCGCCCCATCCTAGTGATGCACAAGCGACTGGGACGTTGTCCCAATAGATGAGGTGGATCTGAGAGCCCTGGATGAGCCCAACCCAGTAGGGACGTTCTGCTTGTCCACCCACCCACCCACCTACCACCCCATCGAGGAACACTTCTCTTTTCTAAGCCTGTGGAAGGCCCAGACATTTTCTGGGACATTCCGGGCATGCCAGGCAGCCCCTGGAATGCCTGCAAGACCACACTGCCCACAAGGCAGGGGCCCCTGCCCTTCCCAGCCACAGGCCAGGACACCAAGAAGGCCAGACCTGAGCCTGTGCCATACAGTGGTGGTCCACTACTGTCCACCAGGAATTCCCCTTCCAAGCCAGGCACTGGTGCCTCAGGACTGTAATCCCAGCTACTCAGGAGGCTGAGAATTGAGAATCGCCAAAACTAGCCTAAGCAGGAAAACCTGTGAGACTCTTATCTCCAACCAACTACCAAAAAGCCAGAAGTGGAGCTGGGGTCCAAGTGGTAGAGAGACAGCTTTGAACTAAAAAGCCAAGAAAGAAGGCCCTAATCCTGAGTTCACACCCCATACTCTCTCTCTCTCTCTCTCTCTCTCTCTCTCTCACACACACACACACACACAAAATCACATCTCTGAGAGTTTTTTAGATTTTTTTCATCTCTAATAAAAGGGGCATGGCTGGGCAGGCCTGGCCACACACACCTGTAATCCCAGCTACTGAGGAGGCTGAGATAAGAGAATTTCTTTTAGTGTGTGTGTCTGCCAGCCCTAGAGCTTGTACTCAGGGCCTAGCTCTGTCCCTGAGTTGTTGTTTTTTTTTGCTTAAGGCTATGCTTTACCACTTAAGCCACAGCTTCACTTCCATTTTTTTGGTGACTTGGGGACCGTGATCCTCAGATTTCAGCCTCCTGAGTACTTAGGATTATAGGTGTGAACCACTAGGACCTGGCAAAAGGGTCTCTATTTAAAACTAGCCTTGGCCAGCCTCTGGTGGCTTACACCTGTATCCTAGCTACTCAGGAGGCTGAGATCTGAGGATCACGGTTCAAAGCCAGCCCGGGCAGGAGAGACCGTGAGACTCCTATCTCCAATAAACCACCAGAAAACCGCAAGTGGCACTGTAGCTCAAGTGATAGAGCGCTCGCCTTGAGCAGAAGAGCTGAGAGACAGCGCCCAGGCCCAGAGTTCAAGCCCCACGGCTGACCAAAAAAAAAAAAAAACTAGCCTTGGTAAAAGTTTAAAGACCCTATCTCAAAAACAGAAATGAAATCAAGGATAAAGGGGAGGGGGGCGCATGTCTCAAGTAGTAGAAAACTTTCCTAGCATCCTGAAGGCCCAAGGTTCAAATCCCAATACTGGGGGGAAAAAAATAAGAAAGAAAAAAGAGAGGCGGGACCATGATAATGGGAAAGCAGGCAAGAGGATTAAAGGGGTTCACACCCAAGAATTTAGACCTGGGATGTGAGACTGTTCAAACTGGTTCAAACAAGGAAGATCTTGGGCAAACCTAGACAAGTCGGCCATCTTACTCAATAAGTAATTAAGCCAGAGCTTGGCCTGAGTCAGAGTCCAGTCAAGTCCAGTCAATACCTCGGTTTGATTATTCACTTAACATCATCACCCATCACCAGGGCAGCCTGAGGGTATAGTCGGTCTGCAACAAGTTTATGGATTGATTGGTGCCCCTCCCCCCACCTGCAGCCCACTTGTTAGATAAAGGGAACTCTGGTAGGAGGGAGGGGACCTTGCTGATTTCCCTCCCACCCCCCAATCCCCACAGGACAAGTTCGGGTGGAATGAACAGAACAGAGTAGAGGGACTGAACTGAGGGAGCGGTCAGGGTGTAGGATTAAGATCGATTTCAGCAGATGGAAGTAAAGCTTTAAACCGGACACCTGTGTGCCATGGCAGCTCATGCCTGTAATCCTAGCTACTCAGGATGCGGAGATCTGAGGACTGTGGCTTGAAGCCAGCCCAGGCAGGAAAGTCCATGAGACTTTATTTATTTATTTTTTGTCAGTCATGGGGCTTGAACTCTGGGTCTGAGTGCTGTCCCTCAGCTCTTCAGCTCAAAGCTGGCACTCTACCACATGAGCTACAGCGCCACTTCCAATTTTCTGATGGTTTTATTGGAGATAAGAGTTTCACAGAGTTTCCTGCCGCGGCTGGCTTTGAACCATGATCCTCAGATCTCAGCCCCCTGAGGAGGTAGGATTACAGGCGTAAGCCAACGGTGCCTGGCTGTCCATGAGACTTTTATCTCTGATGAACCACCAGAAAACTGGTAGTGGCGCTGTGGCTCAAAGTGGTAGAGCACTATCCTTGAGTATAAAAGCTCAGGGACAGAGCCCAGGTCTTGAGTTCAAGCTCCATGACCAAGGAACAAATAACAAATCTTTATTATTCTTGTCACTCTTTGTTTTTCCTTTCAAATAGACAATATATTGGCCTAGTTCAAATATCAAAGTCTGTAAAAAGATCTTTATTTTTGTGTGTGTGTCCAGTTGTGGGGCCTGAACTCTGGGCTTGGGTGCTGTCCCTCAGCTCTTCAGCTCAAGGCTAGCACTCTACCACTTGAGCCACAGCACCACTTCCGGCTTTTTTCTTTTTGCTTATGTGGTGCTGAGGAATCGAACCCAGGGCCTCATGCTTGCAAGGCAAGCACTCTACCACTGAGCCACCTTCCCAGCCCCTGTAAAAAGATCTTTACTATCCATTTCCCTTCCTATCCCTTGTTAACTGAAGTTAAATTCTCTCTAGTACTTCTTTTTTTTTTTTTTTTATTCAGTTGTAGGTCTTGAACTCCGAGCCTGGGCTCTGTCTCTGAGCCTTTCTGTGCTCCAGGCTAGTGCTCTACCCCTTGAGCCATAGCACCACTTCCAGCTTTTTCTGAGTAGTTTATTGGAGATAAGAGTCTCAGGAGCCGGGGCTGGGAAGGTGGCTCAGTGGTAGAGCGCTTGCCTTGCATGCATGAGGCCCTGGGTTCGATTCCTCAGCACCACATAAAGAAAAAAGCCGGAAGTGGAGCTGTGGCTCAAGTGGTAAGCGCTAGCCTTGAGCTAAATTGTTGAGGGACAGCGCCCAGGCCCAGAGTTCAGGCCCCACGACCGGACCCAAAAAAAAAAAAAAAAGAGTCGCAGGTGGCTCACGCCTGTAATCCTAGCTACTCAGGAGGCTGAGATCTGAGGATAGCAGTTCATGGACTGGAAAGACCATGAGACTCTTATCTCCAATAAAGCCACTAGAAAACCAGAAGTGGCGCTGTGGCTCAAGTGGTAGAGTGCTCACCTTGAGCTAAAGAATGCAAGGACAAGGCCCAAGCCCAGAGTTCAAGCCTCACAACTGACAAAAAAAAAAAGAAAGAGTCTCATGGACTTTCCTGCCCAAGCTGGCTTTGAACTGTGATCCTCAGATCTCAGCCTCCTGAGTAGCACTAGGATTACAGGTGTGAGCCACCAGAGCCCAGCTAAACTGAAACCTGGCTGGCCTGAAACTCTTAATTCTCCTGTCTCAGCCTCCAAGAGTACTGAGATTACAGGCATGCACTACCATGCCTGGCTAACTCTACTGTTTTTTCAATTTTATTTAATCTATTGGCAGTGCAGAGGAATCAAACCAAGACCTTGCATATGCTAGAATGCTAGACAAGCACTCTACCATTGAGCTGCATTTCCAGCCTTCATGCCACTGTGTGTGTCTGTCTGTCTGTCTGTCTGTCTGTCTATCTGTCCTTATCGGGGCTTACCGTTGTCAACCTGAGCACTGTCCCTTAGCTTTTTTCCACTCAAGGCTAGTGTTCTACTACTTGAGCCCCAGCTCTACTTCTAGCTTTTTGATAGTTAATTGGAGATAAGAGTCTCACAGACTTTTCTGCCTCAGCTGGCAGATCTCAGCATCCTGATTAGCTAGGATTACAGGTGTGAGCCACCAGAGCCCAGCTAAACTCCACTATAACCATTATATATAGTTGTTGTTGTCTGTCATGGGGCAGTATCCCTGAGCTTTTTTCTCTCAAGGCTAGTGCTCTATCACTTTGAGCTACAGCTCGGCTTCTGGTTTTCTGGTGGTTAATTGGAGGTGAGTCTTACTGATTTTTTTTTTTTTTTTGCCAGTTGTGAGGCCTGAACTCTGGACCTGGGCACTGTCCCTCAGCTCCTCAGCTACCACTTGAGACAGAGTGACACTTCTGGCTTTTTGTGCTTATGTGGTGCTGAGGAATCGAACCTAGGGCCTCATGCATGCAAGACAGGCACTCTACCACTGAGCCATCTTCCCAGCCCAGTCTTATGGATTTTTTTTTTTTGGTCTGGTCGTGGGGTCTGAACTCTGGGCCTGGGCGCTGTCCCTCAGCTCTTCAGCTCAAGGCTAGCGCTCTACCTCTTGAGCCACAGCGCCACCTCCGGCTTTTTTCTTTTTGCTTATGTGGTGCTGAGGAATCGAACCCAGGGC